AGAGGAAATGAGCTTATCATCAGAAGTTCTAGAAAGCACTATGCCATGTGTTTCCTATGACTAAATCCTCCTTCTATTATAAGCACAGCAAGGAAGAATGATCAGCAAAGCTCAGCACTGTTTGCCTAGTATCTTAAGAGAACTTTAGGTAGCTATATCTCAGCATAAGTGTGTGGGCCCAAGATGTGGGACTGTGAGTCCACCTTCTTCCTCTGACTTATAAACTTACTTTGCAATTGGCCTGCATGCTATGCCTAGAAGTCCAATTCTCTGATCTCAACTGTACAACAATCTGGGCTAGCAGATGATGGGTGACCAATAACTATGTATTGAATAAATGAACACAATTCCATCCATTTCACTAAGCCTTTATCGCCCTCTCCTTTGACCTTCTACATACCACTGGAGTATCTCAGTTCATTAGGTGTTTTGTACTTTTGTACACCATCAGGAGTGCAGACTGAAGACAGTTAGGCAGAAAGTAGGGGGGCCACTGACAGGAATTAGGGGTATCCATAGAAAAGAGTGTCCTCACAAGAGAGGACACAAGGGAAGAAGGAAAAGCACCACAGCACAGCTGTGTAGGACCATTTAGCCTGGGGAAAAGTGGCTCTTTGCACTCCAAGAGGCCCATGAATATATCACTGGAGTATTAAGGCCAAGCACACAGGCAAAATGACTGGTAAAATTCAGTGAAAAAAAATACTCCCCTCATATTTTTATAGCCCTAGATGGCATCAAGACATCAAAGTTTAGTTCAGTATCATGTTCAAACCAAGGACCAGAATCACTGAGAAAAGGTTAAATGAGATTCACCACCCTGTCAGCAGGCTGCCAAGAACAAATACATTTTAGAAACATTCCTTTCTAGAACAGCAAAATTCCTCATAAATGTCAGAACTTCAAGTAATAGGATTTCAGTATCTTAGACTTATTTTTATCTTACTTATTCCCCAAAGTATCAGATAGCCAAGACACCAAGTATATGTAGACAAACGTATCTTATAATGAATCAATGTACCTTACAGGGTAGATAATCAGGGACTTGGGGAGGATCTGATTACATAAAGGTCATCACTAGACAGTATCTTAAAGAAATCACATCCGGAGCTAGACATTCCAAGTCAGATAAACTCTTATCATCATAATTAATCCAGATTGCCCACATTTCTGACTGGAGCTCGATTCTCTGCTTACCTTGGCTACCCTTTCAGGGTAGGGTTCCAAGTTTCATGTTCATGAATTTTCTTGCTCTCTTTATATGGTATATCTTCTTCGGACATATAATGGCTAATTCTAGCTCTGTCCCACAGTTCTATCCTCTAGTGCCCAGAGTAGCTCCAACATTCACTTCTGGCCACTGTTTTACTACTTCTTCACTCTTTGCTAGGCCATGGCAGAAGGGCAAGATGAATCCACATAATAACACAATGCCATATGGATTTTGCTACAGTGATTTTGTCTATGACTCCTTTTTGCCTGAATTAGGTTCCCATGGGAGTGGCACTTTTTGATCAATTTTCTGAAACAGGAAATAGCACACACTAGCAGGATAGTGTTGGGATAGTAACCCATCCTCAAGGAATAAAATGGCTCAACTCCTGGCTGGTTATATCTATTTATGTATAGCAGCCCTTATAGTCAGATGTAAATGAAGACAGACAGAAGATAGTCCTGTGGGAGTCAACGGCCAAGCTTAACCTTAAAGAACTGTTAAAGAAGAGGTGTGCAAACATTACTGTTAAAGGGTTATCGTAGTAGCTAGGAGATCCTGGCCACCACCCCAATAAAGTCTAATTCAGTGAGCCTAAGGATTTTTTTTTTTTTTCCAGATAGGGTCTTACTAGGCAGCTCAAATTCATGATCCTCCAGCCTCAGCCTCCTCCTGACACTAGGTTGGATTCTGCAAGAATCCAATTGTCTTTTAACAAAAGTAGAAGGTAATTTTCATGCAATTAGTCACTGAGCCCCTCTATGAGCAACAGTGATTCACAGCAATGAGAAATCTGACACAGGCAGTAAGAGAGAAAGAAGTGAAGGGTTGGTATGTTGATATGTGATATGTGGTTGATAACACATATCCCCTCATGGCCTTTCTTGTTCTCATAATGCATTAGGCTCCTGATAAAATGCTTCTTCCTGCTCAAACATTGCTTCTTCCCATAATGGCCTAGTTGCTTGGTAAGCCAATCAAAAAGAGCAAGGGTGGTACATGCATGAGCCATCAAGCAATCAGCACAAAGCTCAGGGGAGGAGCTACGGGAAGAGGCCATACTATAAAATCACCCTCCAAGAAGACTCCATTGGACTCTTCTCTAGACCTCTCTCTAGATGGAGTCTTGCTACTTTCTCTCACAGCTTTCCTATTCACTTTCAAATAAACATACTGTTTACCTCAAACATTGTCCTGCTTTTTAATTCTTTAATGGGTAAGGAAAATGAATTTTCCCCTAGGCAGTATCAATGTGACAGGCATAGTAAATACACGAGACTTTCTTTG